CTGTGGCAGGTGGAACAGGAGCAGGAGTTGTGTCAGAACGAATTGGCCATGTCTCTGGGTTGCTCCTTCAACTACCACTCGCAACTCAGCAATTCCCCGGGTGAACATTCATTCTGATTATGCACACACATCGATATGAATAACACATTCCAATCCAACAGGACCCCATGTCTCCACCTCGATTGAGGCGAGTCCTTCCTTCGTCTTTGAGGAGCAGGGCAAAACCGACGGCGAGGATTCAATTAAACGACCACAATTCAAATGTTGACGTCACGGTTTTTGGGCCTTATTAAATTATCATTCGATTATGCCATTATGTTTTGCCCCCGATTGCCCCCGGAATCGACCCCGGCTAATGGCACATCCGGCGGAAGTTTAACGATTCCGTGGCCCCGGGGTTGTTGCCAACTCTAACTTATGTTGTCTTCTCTTGCCAACGCTTGGAGCTGGGAAACCCTTTTCCTTGAAATTTATCTCCTTTATGCAGCGAAAATTGCTCGGTGCTGAAAGTATCTTGGATGCGAAATACATATATCTGATGCAGCAGGAGCACTAGCATGAGAAGGTCCTGGCATCCCATTAAATGTAACGATTATTATATCACGTAGCACCATTTTGGGAATTTTAAATATGAAAACGGCTCAAATTGTCCTCGGAATGGGCATCGAAGAGTGTGCCAAAAAAGTGGGTTGGCAATTTTAAACAGGTGAAAAGAAAGAAAAAGACCTAAAGGGGGACTTCCTTACAAGATGAATGCTATGGGTTTGAAATTATATATGAAAGGAGGCTAAGTGGTTACATTGTTAAAATTTACAAAAATTGATAAAAATTCCTAATGTTTACATTTTAAATTAAGTATCCAGATATATTAACCTATTCAAAACTAGCACAGAACAGGATTCAGCATCGAAATTAATGCATTTTTTGGCGTAGTTATGAGACTTTTAGGTTGAATAGGTTGAATATCTTTACTTTTGCCCAAATTATACATATATCTTATCTTATCTTGTAAAACCATTAAACCCTTTCTTTTATCTAACTTCTTGGATAGTAAAAATCTCTGTTTGTTTGTAGTTCTCCGTGTTATGTTTCTTTTTATGGTCAAGCCCTCAGGTGTCTTGAATTTTTCTCCAAATGGAAATCACTTTCCCACCGGGCCAGCGTAAACTTCAAATGTCCTTTTCTCCACCCTGACACTTTTATTTGCTTACTTTCTCCAGCTCCTGCTGCGACGGCGACACATTTAGCACATCAGCCGTCAGGATCCTGGAACCACATCCACCCGCATCAATTGCCGCAATTTGCCAATGAATGGACACTTTGCAACTTCATCCCAATTCCATGGCCTTGGGGCGAAACTTTCTGACCGCAACCCTTTTTTCTCCCTACAAACGTGCCATGTCCTTTGGCCAGTGTCCGGCGTGTCCTTTTGTCCCAAGTCCGTCACTTTTGTATACCGCTGGGTGTTTATCCGGGTGCTTCGGAGCGCCAATCAAGCGCAAAACCGTTTTTGACATGTCCGGGACGGACACACACGAGTATCGAACGGCCAACCAACCAGGAGGAGGACCAACCAGGGGCTGGTCCTGGGAGTCACTGGTTAGCTGCGTGGCCGAACGGACAATGACAATTCAATTACAGAAATGGAAATAGCGGCTGGCATAAAAATCAAATAAAAGCTTCATAAAGTGCTCCGGATGAGCAAATAAAATCAGTGGGCAATGTCAGGCTCGGTGTTTTTCTTTTTTTTTTTGTTATGGGAGCTGCGAGCTGGGAGGTCCTTCCGCCAGGAGTTTTGTTTTTGATTAAGTTTCAGGATTACACGGGAAGATATTTTTGAATAGTTATTACAATGTTGGTAAAGGAAAATAAAGAAAAAAGCTATCAATTTTTTAAATAACCATAAGATATGGAAATAAAATCACCTTAGATTTTAAAACCATTAAAAATATGCCTCACAGAATAAAACAGTAAATGAAATTATTGTAAATATTATTTGTGATATGTTTTACGGGTTTCCAAAATGATATATTTAGATCTTTGTTAATTTCAGATTATATTTGCTATTAAAAATGTATTTTAATGTTAGAACATATACAATAGCTTTTTCTCTGTGCAAAATCAAATAGCATTTATTGGGGGTCCTTCTATGGCCTGACCCCCGGATCCTTTGCGGTCATTTGGCAATTGGCATCATACGCACGCACCCACTCCCACTTGGTGCCAGGACTCACTCCATGCTCCTAAGGGGGGGCACAGAATCGTAAAGTTCCCACGCGTTGGGAGTTGGAATCTGCCCCCAGCGGAAGCGGAAGTGAAAATCGAAATGAATTCGATAGCCACCCGCCTGACCCCCTTTCGGCTCAATGTCTGCGGTTGCTGCGGTGACTCACCTGGACACCTAATGCTCCACGAAACTTGAAACTCTCACCTGCCAGCAGCTTGACACTCTTAAAGTCGTGGAACAAATTGGAAATGTAGTTGCAGGGGAGGAGGACTGCCGGCTATTGAAAATTCATAGCCAAAAATTTATTCATGGCCTGCCCCACAGACTCTCAAGGCATTAATATTTAAACAGCGTCGTTCTCGGCCGGCCTGTGCCTTTGGACTTTCCCGAGATCCTGGCCTGCTTGGGGTCACGAGTTCCCAGTTTTTTTTTCTGTCGCAAAGTTTGTGTTTCTGGCCCTCATCCTGTACCTGTTCCCGTGGCTGTTGCTGCGGCTGTCAGTAACAACGTCTCGAGGACATGAGGGCAGCATTTTTTATGGACCAAAAGTTGGCCATGCCTAAGGACACAGTGGGCAGAAACGCTTTGTAATTGGATTTCTTTTTTAGAAGGATCTATAGAATCCTTCAAATCATTTAAAATCAAGTGAAGTTATGTTTGAAATCCTTAAGAATCTAAGTGCTTATGGTATTATTATAAACAAAAGATATATTTCTAAATCCTTTTTATATTTTAAAAATATAATAATTCTTCTTACTAGTTGTGTACTCTTTTCTAATGCATTTCCGCCCAAGGTGCTGGATTTTCTTGGTATAATATCCACCCCTCCGGCAGGGGCCAACCCTCAATATCCTCAGTATCCTCAGTACCTGGCCGTAGTTGTTGTCTTTGAACAATTTGTAACCCTTTAAACCGTCTGACACGCGTATAATGTGACAGAATGTTCCAAACTACACATTAATTTTTGATCAAATGGCTTTCGACTGGTCTCGGTCCAGGATCTTTGCCTGAATCCTTGAACGACTCACAGAAGGCGAAGGGTGGAGCCTGTCAAATGTCATTCGGCGGGCAAAATGTTTCATCCAAATAAAGTTAAGTTATCAAGTTGCCGTGGCGGTTAGCCAGCAAAAGCTGGAAATTAATGAAATTTTTTTATATTTTGGCCAGGACCGGCGGCGATTGGCCAACAGGCCAGCACACAAAAATTCATTTATTTTCATTTATTGTTTCACATTTCCCCTAGGACAGCGAGACGTTGCAATTACCGCAGAAAAGAGAAAGAAAACTCACAAAAAAAGGGCGGCTTCTGTCGCCGAGAAAAGTTTGAAAAATAAATGTATATAAATTTTTTTCTTCTTGTCGGATTTTTATTTTATTTACTTTTTACTGGCCGGGCGTGTTCATAATTCCGCTGACTTGTCCCGTGTCCTGTGGAGTAATTTTTACTGCAGGACAAGCGCAAATACATAATTGAATAACCCAAGGAAGCGCAGGGAAAGGAGAAACGTAGGGGAAAGGGTGAATCGCGGGCCAGAAAAGTTTTAATTCAATTCCTTGTGCGTTGTTAACTCGAGACGTCGTCGTCGTCCTGCTGAAGTTGATTAATTTCGCATTTTTACGCTTGATTATACGAGAGCCAAAGAAGTTCTCCTGCGTTACTATCCTTGTGCGTGCTACCGCAGGACTTTTCTTGGGAGTTTTCCTCCTTTTTTCGCCTTGCACACACACATAGGAGCGGCGAACGAAGAAAGGAATCTTTTTCCGTGGCTGTGGCAAAAATATGGCGTTGAATCCTTTGGGAAATTTCGATATCACACTTTGTTCAGCGTTCTCGTCATGCCCGCAAGTTCATTACACATTCGCCAGAGTCGAAATGAGCAAAAGTAATGGGAAATGCACTGCCATGGGGGTTGGGGTTGGGAGATGCTGGTTCTGGGCAGGATTGGGGGTTGGGATGCCACCAGCATCACCAGCATCACCAGCAGCAGCAGCAGGTTGATTAACCAGACTTAGAGACACAACCCCCAGCACAAGACATACATATATGCTGAGTGTGTGTGGCATAAAAATCTCAATTATTATCTTCGCCATTACTTCGCCTCTGATTTGTGGAGTCGAGTGGAAAGTATCTGACAGTTTGCCATGATTGCAGATAGATGATTCCAATTTCCATCTACTAATTATTATGAGTGATCAATTATTTATCATTCAAAGGCAATCATTAATCTGGTTTTGGATAGTAGAAAAAGTAAAGAACGTTTTCTGGAGAAAGCTCTGCTGAATTGGCAAAGAAAGCTGTCTGCCAGCTGAAGAATAGAATTGAAGAATCTACAACACAAAGGGAGGCCAGACTCTGAGAAGACACAAAGGCAAACGACACTCGGAAAGACTTGACAATATTCGCAAGAAAGCCGTCGAAAGGGGAACGCCATAAATCAAATGTATCTGCGTATCTGCGTATCTCAGAGCCATGTATCCAAGTATCTTTTGTCGAATGCGCCGTATGTAAATGCCAGACAATAGTTATAACTTATATATATAGATGATCATAGATGTGGCTAATTATAAGCAACACCCCAGTCGATGGGGGGATTAGCATATGACAAGGCCGGTTAACAGCTACAAAACAGTTAACCCAACTTTGGAGATGGAGTCAGAGATGAAGATAGCTGCGATGTAATTACCAGGTGTCGGAGTGGCGGCGGAAAAACCCACCAATTATGGGCGTAAATTCTCAAAGCGATGACTCAAAGGCGGACTCAGAGTCCGGGGCTAAATTTAGACATGGGTTTATTGCGGCCATTAGCGTTTATAATTCATAATTTATAATTATTTCTACGATTAGAGTTAAGCTTTGACTATAGTTTAAGGAGATTAAAGGAGGATCACCGGGCACCGATTAACTCAAAACGCTGATCCCTGCCAATGGGCTCCGCCTTGCTCTTCACCAGATACTTGGAGAACTCGGCCGGCGAGCGGAAGGCCTTGACGGGGAACTTGCCAAAGCGACCGTTGCTCCTCGACAGCACATAGTATATGGGATAGGGGCCCGGCGTCATCTGGACGGGCACAGACCGGGACTCCGCCTGATTCCCATCCAGGGACAGACGGACCTGGACACCGTCACCCTTAGCGTCCAAGTTGAGCTGCTTCTGCTGCTTGAGTTTCTGCTTGGGAAAGGCTTTTAGTTCGTATTTCAAGGCTCGGAGCGTCGCATCTTCACCACTGGTGGCCATCACCTGGTCCACTGCCTTCACTGGGGGCCGGGGTCGACGCTTTCGCATCTGTTTTGAGTCCAAATACTGGCGTTTACCGTTGTCGGTTACGGATTCTGGAGCGGATCCTGCCCCGTAACTACTGCCTGGTCTCAGGGTCTGGATCTGGAAGAAGGCCGAGTTCATTTGGCTGCCGGTGCTGTCCTTTTTGGGTGGCAAGTCATGCGGATGGACACGGATCACCTTCTGGGTTTGGTTAGCAATGCTGATCACATCCTCCTCTATGTCTGTGGACTCCTCCAGGGCCAGGGAAGCGACGAGCAGGGATACCAAGCAGAAGCAGAAGAGCTGCAACAGATGGGTATATTATTATTTAAGGGTTTACACTCATTTTTAAGTTTAAACAAATATTTTTATATTAAATTTCTACAAGTTTCCGAGCTGATCTATCATTCCCATTCACTGTGGGCGATCAATCACAATTACCATAATCCGTTGATGGCCAAACATCGTGTAAGATCAGCTAAGATTGCTCAGTGAAGTGATGCTAAGATAGTTTTTTCTATGAAGCTTCTGTGGATTCCGCAACTGTGCGACTTGTGTTGGATGCTGTCGTCTGACGACTGAAAACCCAGCTGGAACCCAGCGATCGCTGTAAGCTTTTGGAGTCTGAGATCCCACCTGAGCCCCTCCGCCTCCGTTCATAATGAAGTGTTTGGCAGAGAGACGCCAGAACAAATAATGAGCCAAAAATTGGTTAGTTTTGTTGCGTCTTTTGTCATCTGTCTGTGGGTACCCCTTTCCCCGGATCTGGAACGGCACACTGGGTTCGGGTATTGCAAAAAACTCCACAGATATAGATGAAAATAAATCAATTTAGTGTTTGCTTACCGATAAGCTATGGTTGATTACCTCATTGATTAATTTGTTTACGACTGGGATCCTCCTTATCGATTGACGTTGTCTGATTGTGACTGTTTTGTTCATTGTTTTCGATATTTATTCAGAAATCTACCAGGTAATAAGGTTCGGGAACTTCTTTGGCTGAAGCTGACAGAGAGATAGTTTTTTAACTACTGCTAATGGCTTTATTTTTCTTTCACCTCTGAATGTTTATGACAATAATAAATGAATAAATTCTATTTCAAAAAGTTATAACAGAAAGACAATATCTATTTTGAGCTATTTCTCAAGCTTATTAAACCTCTAATCTAACTTTATCTTAGCATAAGTCAATGTTAATTATAAAAAGCAAACAAACGTCTTACTTAACATAAACATAAATTTATTTGTACCATGGTTTAGAAAAGAGTATTTGGTAAATAGAAATCCGCCAAGTAATTTTTTATCAACCGATCATTAAGCGTGCATCACTAATTATTGTAATGAATTTATTTATGATAATTGTCAAAGTCTCAGACACTGCACATTGTTGGCCATTCGGCGTGTGCACAAACAATTTACAAATAACAAAAATAATAATAAAGCACAATGGGATAAAATCTAAATAATTTAAACGATTCGGTAATATTGAGAAATAGAGTACAATTTGTATTCTTGAATAAACTAATGAACAAGTGTTTTCTTATGTAGTTTGAGTGCCTATAAAAAGTGTACCCGAGGTAATTATACATTTATATAGGAACACTTTACTAGTCTCGAAGCCATAATTTTAGTTAAATAACAACCTTAATTTCCATTTCATTGGAAATAACATGAAATTAGTAAATATTAGTAAATAAGAACCATATTTTTGATGCCCTTCGAGAGTATTATAACTTTAGTCAGAAGCTTGAAACGCAGTAAAGGAACCATTTCCGACCCTATAAATCATAGATATTCTTGATCAGCACTTTAAGCCGAGTTGATCTAGACTTGTTCGGGAGAAAACAAAAATTTTAAAATTTTTGAAAATTTTATAAGGGGTTACATCTTTAAAATTATCAAAAATTGGCCAACAATTTTAAAATTTTTACTCTATTAACTAAGTATGCAGATTTGTTAGCATTATAAAAACTAGCATAGAAATGTTTCCCGATTGGAATTGATTCATTTTTGGCTTAGTTATGATCGATTTTCATTGCACGGATATCGAAATTTCGGGTTCCCAGAACTAGCTTCCCTTTTTGTTATTTAGTTGTTTTTCCAATGCAATATTATTAAATTTAAAGATTTTTTCATTAAGTAACCGACCATTTCCCATAGTCCAACAAAGCTTAGACAATTATAATTCAATTGTATTCAGATGGAAGATATAGAAGTCATGAAGCCGCCGATGACGATGACTCAATGTGGTTCTGTTCCTAGTTGGGGTTTCTGGTTTTTGGTCTGTACAAGCAACTTAACACGAGATTGGAGACTCGATTCGCGGGTAGGGGAAATAGCGCTCAATGGAATTAGAGATCTTGAAATTAAGGCCCCGAACAAGGTTAACATTTGTTGCGGATTATAATCTGTTAATTGAAGTTGTGCGCACGAACTTACTACACATATAAATAATTAAAGTACCAGAAGACTCTGTTTCAAAACTAAGGCAAGTTATTAACTCGCTTGATTATGTCACCTGTTTTTGGCAGCAGCTCATTAGTTATGCCCAAATGGGTTTAATGAGAATTCATTGACCCAGTCAGCAGCGATTCGATGCGATTGAATAACTCTCCATCGATCAAGCCAAGAACAAATCATCGATGACGCTGATGATGATTATGCTAATGATGTTTTGCGGCTGAAAGGGGTCAGCGATTTTTATGGCCAAAAAATGTGAGATCTTCGTATATATGTATATATATTGCCATCGTAAAAATTCACTTTGCTAGCGCAGTAGTAGAGATGACAAAAACCATTTATAGCCCTTTGGAACATCAGAGAAAAATCGGAAAGCCACTCTGCCAGACGGTAATAAAATGCGAGGATGCCAGCAGGCCAGGATACCAAGACAATGGATGTATAGATTCGTATATAGACTTGAACAGATTCCATTCCTTTCTCCCATCCTCCATCAATGTCTCGCGCCATCGATTGTTATTCAAAGCAGCCATAATCTGTGCCAAGACGTCGTCTTCGCAACGAGACAAAGTGAATTGGCAGCAGGGAGAAAGCCAAGAAGAAAGGGTTTCGGGTATGAGGGGCTCTTTGGCTTTTTAGTTAGCCAAGTGTTTGGGGAATTGAGTTGTAACTCAACAGGTTTTAGCTTTTAAGTCTCTCACTCCTTGGCCATGGCTAATGGATTATTTAAAGTGTCCTTAAAGTTGTAGGAAAAATATCTGAAAGCCGGGTATCATATGTTATGTTATGTTGGGCGAGTGCCCAAAGGCTGTCCTTTGTAATTAGATTGCAAAAAGGACCTGCTTCCACCAGAGGTGACCAGTAACCCTTTGCCACACCCAGCGGCTAATGGACAGCAAATCCGTGGACATTTGTTAGCAAAGTTTGTCCTTTTTTTATGTGGGTTTTGTGTTTTTGCGGTCAGCACATAAATTACCTATTAGCTATAGGGATCACATATAATTTACGAGTGGCCCAAGGACCGCCTTAATTATGTTACACAGGTGATATGAGGAGCTCTGAAAAAGAGCGGGGTAGATAAGCCCAGCCACTCCCCCTGGCCTCTGACCTTTTTGAAAAATTTTGTGCTGACTCAAATAGTTGTCTTCGGGGGTGGAAATTATCACACTCTTCTTGGGAGATGATTCCGGTTTTTATTACATGACAATTACCACAATCAGGGGAGCATATGGGAGCCACATTCACACCGCAACATGAGCTGTCGTAAAAAAGAATGGCCGAAAGCGGCACTTGGCCGGGCCAATAATCGTTCTGTCGAAAGTTGCAATGGTAGCAAGAGTTGGAATTGGAGTTGGAGTTGGGGTCTCCTTGGCAGACATTACAAACCCAAAATGGTTATGTCTCCGTCGAGTTATCAGCTTGCAAATAGCAACTAGAAATGCCATTTCCCTGGCCAAACAAATGTCAAAGGCAGACAACAGTTAAGGAAAGATTTTTGTAGAGATGGAGGTCATTTTCTTAGCGTTTTCGGGGTTCAAGAATAATGAGAACCAGGCTGATTAAACTGGATATAATTTTCGTTAAGGAAGTTTAAAAATATTGCCATAGGAGTATGTGAAAAAGATAGCTTCTTTTAATATGTTTAAGCTTGAATTTAATAGGAAAATACAAATATGATATGTCTAGAGACCATTATTTACAGAAATAGATATATTCTATATAATTAATTTGTCTGTTTTTTGATCATATTGATTGGATTAAACAAAATACAAATTAATGGGATATTTGAACAATGCAATGTTTAAATATCAATTTATTTATTGATTTAAGCATACGCGAATAATCTAGCAATACTTTCTGTGATTCCTGACTTAGTGCTTCTTTTTTATTTATTATTAAATTCTTTGGAAACTTAAAATAAAACCTAAAGACTTAAATTAAAGTACGTTTCTGTGGGTACGCTTAATTTAAAATTGAATTAATTTCTTGAGCAGTATAATCCTATAAAAAAGGACACAGTTCCCAAGAAATAAGTAATATAATGTCATATCCATACCCTATCTCGGTCTTCATTAATTTGTGCAATTCTTTCAGGGAGAATATAAATTTAAGGTCTTGGAACTTGAGTAAATATTTGCCTTGGTATCATCATAAATTCGTTGCGAAAAACGCTTTTGTTAGCCATTAAAATATTTAACGGATTGCCGCTGATGGACTGGGCGGCCCAACTTTCCCAGGACATGGCCAGGCAGCGGCAAGCGATGGGTGGAAGGCAAGGATCGAGGGAAGGACACCAGCAGCATGTACATAATCTCTACGTGCACCTAAATCCCGACAAGGTGCCCGCCAATGCCGCGATGACTCCGCCCTGAAACGTTTGGGGTTCCAACTTGGAAGTTAGACGCAGTCCTTCACTGCGCAGCTGCAGGACTTTCGCCTCGTCCAGTTGGTGCAAATCGTTTGGGAGGAGGCAGTCGGCCTTCGGGGTGGCACTGGGAGTGGGAGTGGGAGGTCCTTGGAGCCGCATTCAAGACTGTTCCGATTCCAAAATGTTTCTGAATCCCGAGTTCAAGTCCCGAGAATAGCAGCTAGCCCGAAGGGGGAGCTGAAGCTGGAGAAGGCAAAGTGGAAGCAGGACACTCTCCTGTGATTTTATAGCAAAATGAAGAAAATACTACAATTTCCATGGATTCCATGACAGATTTAAAATCCTTCGTTTTATGCCGCCTTTCACCAGCAGATACGTAGGTAATCCTGGCCAGGCATCACGTCCTGAGTGCCTCCCTCAGGCAGCGCCAATTAACGCTAATGCAGGACTCATAATTTAACGCCTTACGGTGCCACATTAACCCAAACCCCATGGAACTCAGGTGTGTGTGCGAGTGTGCGAGTGTGTGTGGAGAGGTGAGTTTGCCATGCAAATGAACTGGCAAATGGAGCTTGTCAATATGGCAGTTGCAAATGCAAATGTCCACCTACTTTTACACATAAAGAAAATTAAAGGAATTTATCAAAACTACAATCTTGGTATGCAAGGAATGTTAAATGGAAAAAAAAGTTATCTTATTCCTTCAACTTCCATAATATAGATAATTTTTAAATAAATGGTAACTCCTTTAAATGGGAAAGGT